GATATTCACAGCTCACAGCAATGAACAATGAATCGTCGGTAAACTATAAGTGAATTTTAATTAGAAAAGTTGTTTTTTTTTTTTCTTTTTTTTACCATTTATTGAAATTGGAAATCAGTTTTCGGACAGGTATGTTTGACTGAAGAATATACAAAGCTCAAGGCCAGATTGGAGATTTTGCTGACAAACCAAAGGTAACAGAGCCTCTCTCTTTGTCCACTCCCTCAGTTACAAATAATTAGGGATTGTTTGATATGGCTTCTGAGTTCTGACTAAGGGCATCTTCAATGGGAGGTTATATTAGGGTAAAAACTCCTCCAATGGTACCTCAAATATAGCTCAAAAGATATTGTAAAGTGTAACATTATTAATTTATGCCAAATAAAAATACAATAAATGACTTTATAACTAAAAAATACTAATGAAAAAAACAATCATTTGTAACTGATGTATAGAGATGATAGTTAAATATTAAATGACATTTAAACATACTTGTAATGAGATTTGAATTTGAATAGGAACTGAAATTGTAACCGTTCATTCTTGTGATTGAATGGAAGCACGATCGATTTCATTTAATTAATAACAACCAAAACTTCTGATTCGATTTTGATTCTTGCAACGATTCAATCTTCTTCCGTATTCTACCTCAACTATTCAGTTAATTAGAAAGCAAATATGGACCATATTTGTATACTATTATCCTCTTCCTTAATCTCATTTTTTTTTTGTTATTAAAAAGCAAGAATGGGGTAATTTAATCTCATTTTTCTGGTGATTTATTACTCGTTATTTCTCTCGAATGTACAATGCTTGTGTGTTTTTTTGGTGGTTTGTGACCCCGAAATACCACCACAAGCCATGTGAGTGTAGAAGAAAGATATTTCTATGAAAGAAATACAGGAAAACTAATTTAATTTTTATTTGAAAACTAACCATTCAACGTGTTTCTTATTCCAAAAGCACCTTTAGAGAAAATCGCAGTAGTCATTCTTCTTCTAAAAGTTCTTTTAACTAAAAAAAACACTTTTGTAAAATGATTCAAATGGAT